AGGAAGCTAACATCTATAATCAAGCTAAAGCTAAGATGGCAGGAAGCTAACATCTATAATCAAGCTAAAGCTAAGATGGCAGGAAGCTAACATCTATAAAAGCAGATAAAGCTAAGATAGCAGGAATCTACCACTGGAAAACAAGCTAAATCTAATGCTGCATGCCTTGGGAAGGCCCTGAAAACCTAAAGCTGCTATGCCATAGCAGCCTCCCCAAGAGCCTCAAGCCAGGGGATTTTGGGATGCGGACGCAGGAAGGCCCAGAGGCACAGCCGGCCATGGTCATCACGGTCAATTCAGATAACAGGGAAATTTACCAGCATCTTACTGTCTAATCCTTCAGGAATTCCCATCGCAAATGCAGACCCTGGAGATCCAAGCTACACAAGAGAGCATCAGCTTCTAGAACGTGACCGGCACATCCGGCACATCCCGAAACCTCAAATGCTGTGGCAAGTGCAGCTGGGTTGTGGAGGTGGCACACGCTAAGGGGCCTCAGTCATCACGGCAAAAAAGCAATTAGCATCGCTGATCAATAGTGAAATGCACTTTCGACATAGGTGAGGGGATTAAACTCAGCATGGGAAAACCAGCCGCCTGAAAGTTACCTTTGGCAAAGACTCTCTGGAAAATTGAAATATAGATTTCACCATTCTGCGGGAAATGGCAGGACTTAATGGCTTTAATCCTATTTTTGAAAGGCTGGCAGTCAGAACACACTGGCATCGCGATACTGTTAATGATTATAAACTTTTATCTGGCCCTGGCATTAAACAGGCGCTGGGACATGCTGAAATTATTCCATCAGCATCAGCAAGATGGCCAACCTGCATTTTTTTTCCACTGGAATCCACCTGTCGAATCCAGACAATAGGTTCAATGAAAAACACAGACATTGTACCTCCTGGTCTCATTCAATTTTGTCGTGAACCACTATAAATTAATCTAAAAACATGTGCCTAAATTAATTTAATACTTATCGTTTGCGGATTGCAAAGCTGGGTATAAAAATAAACAATAGAAACAGGTGTGTACCTCTGATGCAAAAAAAATGCAACCTGAATAAGTGAGAATATCCCCAAGGGGAAGATTATTGTATACAAAGTGGAAAAATTATATTATACATTCACACGTAAGCCACAGGTACCTAAAACTGAACAATCAATTAATATGAGAAATAAAAGAAAATCACTGTTTCATGGAAGATTCTAGAAACAGAGGAGCGTGCTGAGCCTAAATAAGGAAAGTTGGCACTCAGTTCTGCCCCAATTCCCGAGAGAATAAGCGTTGTTACACCCCTGGGCGAGGTACCGTACCCAAGACGCTTCAGAGAATATATCCAGCTGTACAGGGAGGCCCAGGTTAACACCAGTAGCTCCAATGGTGTGTTTCTCCAGAGTTCATTCTGGGTTCTCGGTGTTGTGATGCAGCACCAAAGAAAAGCGGACAATAATAAAGCCTGACTTCTGGTGAACAGATTACATAAATGGCCGCCGGTCTTTCATAGCACCTCATTCCAGGGTATCACAGCTGTCTGCACCCCCCAGATCCTGGCCGACGGGCCGTACCTTTGAATTCAATGGCGAACCCAGACATTCCCAGTGAGGCATCGCTGCGGAATGCCAGGAACAGGCTGTTTCCGCTGCTCTCGATGCGTTCCGGAGCCTGGTTGCCCTGGAGACTGCTGATGAGCGGTCCGTTGGAATCCTCTCCTTCGTACACATGCAGGAAGTCATAGCTGGGCTCCATGTTGAAGCTGGTAGCCAGGGGGGGACAGTGAAGGGGGCAGATGGTGACACGGGGCGGCCACTGTTGGGCATCTTGCATAGAAGCTGTTCTGAGCTGAGCACCATGACGCTAACCCTGCATGCTGCTGATGGGTGTCTAAAGCTTTGCTAATCACACCTGGCTGCCAAAGTTTACTCATAAAGAATGACTCCCGAACTTTGGTGCTGCTTCACCATCATTCATTTGTTCTCCACTGTAGCTCTGTCACTCGCTCACGGCATGACTCCCCCAGCCCCACTCTCAGGTCCAAACGTACCTTTTAAAAATGAGGGCAATCACAAAGTCGGGGTTCACTCTAATCCTCCAGTCACACTCCTTCCCTGGGGGGTATGGCTGGGGGTAGTTGGGAGACAGTATTACCCCGGAGGGGCCTGTCACATTACCTCCACAGGTGGCTGTCATATAAGGAGAGAGGAATGTGATTACAAACAGTACCTCACAGCACGGTACTAAGCTTACCCATGGGCCAGGGATCACGGTGTGGAACCACCACCATGGATACAGTGCCATTTATCACCGGGGAGGGGCCCAGGTCCTACAGCTTCCCCGCAGACCGGGGATCACGGTGTGGAACCACCGCCATGGATACAGTGCCATTTATCACTGGGGAGGGGCCCAGGTCCTACAGCTTCCCCGCAGACCGGGGATCACGGTGTGGAACCACCACCATGGATACAGTGCCATTTATCACAGGAGAGGGGCCCGGGTCCTACAGCTTGGTCCTGCTGGCTAATTAGTGCTAATTAATGGACACTTGCCTTGCATATCTCCATATATTCTGGTAAATGCACCGCTTTCCAGCAGGACTTCTGGTTGAGGGCCTTGCAGGTGTTGCTTCACCCGTCACTCCTTCATTAAACATTAACTTCAGGCTCTGTCCTCATGATTAGTGTGACATACGCTAAGGTCTAAATGGCGCATTCTCAATGTGACGAAATCAGACTTAAAAATGTGACTGGGGAATCTATTTCCCAGCCCATATGCCATCGTTTGGTTAAGCGATGCTGACAGAGCAGTTCAGCTTTAAGGCACAGGCCACACCCACCATGGCGTGCGTCCAATAGCTAGTGGATCACAGAAGAATAATAAGAAAAGAGTGAAAAGGGTGCGGATAAAAATGGCGGCTGCTGAATCTCAGAAAGAGCTTAACTTTCAGCAAGATCACAAACAATAGCGCAGTCTCTGCCGGAACGTACCAATGCACAAGGGGGGGTCTGGCTGCCAGAAGAAACGGTTGTTGAGCTGCACGCAGGTGATCCTGGCCACACCCTGCAGCTGGTACCCAGGGTCACACTGGAAGGTGATGGTGTCGCCGGGGTGACGGCTGTCCCCGTAGCGCGTGCCATTCTGCGGCGTCCCGGGGTCATTGCAGGTTGTGGCCGTCATGGCTAGGGGTGGAAAGGAAACACTCTCAGGGCAGAGTGGTGTTACCCTTGGGAGGAGCCAGCGGCTGGTAGCTTGCAGCACAACAGGAATGATAATGCACTAAATTGTCACAAACACAAATGCAGCTCGTTATGGGTTTTGAGCCTGAATAAATACCTCCTCATTCCTCTTTTATGAGGGGTATGTGGGGGTAGAAACAGGACTCTGTTCCACCTCTCAGGTCTAATAAGCAGGCAAAAGACTGGCAAATAGAGGCAGAACGTTCCAGAAGGAGCCAGAGACCACAGAATGGGGACCTACTGGAGAACTGGATGGAGAAACCGGACTTGCTGATGAAGTAGTCACTGTCAAACTGCAGTGTGAGGATGTTGAAGGTGCTGTGGACGTCTTCTGGGAGGGAGGAGCCGCTCCACTCGCGCAACAGGATGCCGCCCTCCACGGGGCCATCCCAAACCTTTAGGATGTCATGGGCCACCTCCGTGTCGAAGACGATGAAGTGGAGGCTGAGGAGACATGGGTATGAGACAATCACACTCAAGACTACGGACGTGTGACGCTTATGCCACTGTCACGCATCTGCTCTTAAGACTTGTGGGCAAGGATATTTAAACAGGAGGATTTTCTCACACGTTTCAGTTGCTTTGTAACTGATGTTTCATGGACACAGATCCTTTTAATATGTTATATTTCAGGTATTGACAAGAATATAAATATGAGACTTTATGATGACCTTTAAACAGAATTCATAATATTCCTTTTTCAGCTTTAAGCAGTTCACCCCACACAGCCTCCCTGGGGACATCGGCACATTTACTCAGTATCGTCTTGCTCTCACATGGGCTGCCATGAGTATAATCAGCGCATCTGCCCGGCTCTTGTTATCAGTGAAGCCATGGTGAAGGACCGATTGGCCCCAATGCTAATGAAATGCACGAAGGTCCGTTTACTGCCCATGTGACAGTGCTCCTCCCCGCAAGCCATGCCATTGGTCAGAGGAGACTCACCTTACGGTTTTGCCTGTGTCAGCTTCGATGGACCAGGTACAGTGGAGGTTATTGTCGTAGGGAGCCGGGTATCCCGGCGACAGTATCCGCCCTGATGTTGCCGCTGTGATGTGCCCTCCACACTCAGCTAAAACACAAAACTGGTTTAGCTGAATCTCCCCACCTTAAGCAGGGCCTGTATTACAAAGTGAAATTGGTGATGGATCTGGGCACTGTCCGGGGGTCCTGTCTGTCCGGGGGTCCCTTACAAAGGTCCCTGGGCCACTCTGACCCAATACTACACAAGCAGTTATGGGATACGGATGGACAGATGGAACCCTAGCACCTGCTCCTTGGACACATGTGTGAGACGTACAGTTGAGGGTGAAGCTTGGGACAGAGCACAGGCTCGGGTATCTTTCTGGCACCCCAGAGCACTTTTTGGGGTCAAGGGTCTTGCTGAAGACACCAGAGGTGATTTCATCACTCTGCCAGCCATGAGAATTGAACCAGAGATCTTCTGACAATCAACATGGACTCTGAACTCTCACAGGGTATCGGTGGTCACGTGCAGATGATCGTGGTTGCCACATCCAGATTGGGGAGGAGCCCAGGTCCTACACATTCCCAGGGCTTGGAGATAAGAGGAGCAATGTAGGCGCAGTCATCAGTCCTCTGTTATGCCGTAATACGGGGAAATTAGCTGCCATCACATCTAACGATAATTAAGTAATCAGGCTGATGATAGAGACCAGCGCGAGGCGTGGAACGTCGGCCGACGGCACGGCGGGTAATGGGCTCTCACGATTGAACACTCGGCCCCAAGGTGCTAAAACAGAAAGGTATCTGTCCTCAGAAACAGCAAGTACACTGTCCTGTTAGTGAGGGATCATTTTCCATAGTATAGAGCATTTGGTCTTCCATCCATAGTCTGCATCAGTGTAGTGTAGACCCAGACTGTGGAAAAATTAAACATGTAAGATGGTCATACAACGGCTAGCCGGTCTCCCTATTCCATAGGGCTAAAATGAAACCTTAGACTGCCTGTTATCCGCATAACCAAAGCCCAATCCCAAAATCTAAGCCCAACGTCTGTGTGTTTGTACAGTTGTTAAGGCCCACCACCTTTTTGCCAGGTTTGACTGACACCTGCTGGATTTTTGCACTTACCTACACATGATGGTAGTGGTTTGTCCCACACACGACGGTCTCCGCTCAGGCATGTGGATGTGTTGCTCCCATGTAGCGTGTACCCAGGGTTGCAGCTGTAGACCACCGCTGTGTCGGTGAAGTGGCCATCGTCTTGAACCTTGTACCCGTAGTTGGGGGTGCCCGGCTCCTCACACTTCACAAGGTCAAAACCTGCAAGCAGGGGGTCGGCATGGTTTACTTATCATAACCCAACGTAGAACAGGACAGAACCATTCCCTCACACTTCCGGGGTTGGGGAGTTCAAATCCCACCTCTACATTGTGTGTGTGGAGTTTGCATGTTCTCCCCACGTCACATGGGCCTCCTCCCACAGTCAAAACACATGCAGTTTTAATTAACACCTCTAATTGTGCATGATTGTGAGAATGTGATAGATTGGTATTCTTTCGAGGGTGTCCCTCAGCCCTGTGTCCTGTGATCAACTGGCATCCCATATAAGGTGTCCCTCAGCCCTGTGTCCTGTGATGGACTGGCATCCCGTCCAGGGTGTCCCTCAGCCCTGTGTCCTGTGATGGTCTGGCATCCCATCCAGGGTGTCCTCTACCTTGTGCCCTGTGATGGACTGGCATCCCGTCCAGGGTGTCCCCCAGTCCTGTGCCCTGTGATAGACTNCTCTACCTTGTGCCCTGTGATGGACTGGCATCCCGTCCAGGGTGTCCCCCAGTCCTGTGCCCTGTGATAGACTGGCATCCCATCCAGGGTGTCCCCCAGTCCTGTGCCCTGTGATAGACTGGCATCCCATCCAGGGTGTCCTCTACCTTGTGCCCTGTGATGGACTGGCATCCCGTCCAGGGTGTTCCCAGCCTTGTGTCCTGTGATGGACTGGCATCCCATCCAGGGTGTCCCCCAGTCCTGTGCCCTGTGATGGACTGGCATCCCGTACAGGGTGTTCCCAGCCCTGTGCCCTGTGAAGGACTGGCATCCCATACAGGGTGTTCCCAGCCCTGTGTTCTGTGATGGACTGGCATCCCATCCAGGGTGTCCCCCAGTCCTGTGCCCTGTGATGGACTGGCATCCCGTACAGGGTGTTCCCAGCCCTGTGCCCTGTGAAGGACTGGCATCCCATACAGGGTGTTCCCAGCCCTGTGTTCTGTGATGGACTGGCATCCCATATAAGGTGTCCCTCAGCCCTGTGTCCTGTGATGGACTGGCATCCCGTCCAGGGTGTCCCCCAGTCCTGTGTCCTGTGATGGACTGGCATCCCATCCAGGGTGTCCCCCAGTCCTGTGCCCTGTGATAGACTGGCATCCCATCCAGGGTGCTCCCTGCCTAGTGGCCCATGCTGCCTCGGACAAGCACCAGCAACTGGCTAAATCCTAACCAGGGCAATCTGTTAGAAGATGGATAGATGGACTATCAAATTTCTGCATTTGTACCATTAAATATATGTAGGGCGATTTGTCCACCAAGACATGATGTGTTATCCCCCTCCTGTATTCCTACCCCGCTGGACCTATTCGTCTCTGGGTTTCAGCAATTATTCAGCTGATACCTGAAGACAGCATCGGCCTTCTGTCTCACTTCTACACCAAAGACGAAAGTCGGGATTGTGGCATCTTTTACAATCAGAGTCATTTTGTATCCACCCACACTACCAAATCAGAGAGGCTATCGCCTGGGTATCGTCTTCAGAAGTTACTCTGGTATGATTCTTATAGGTTTGGTGGCCTCAAATACAATTGTGTCAATTGTACAATCTCCAGCCAGCATAGATAGTGCTGATGCGAAACACGCAAAACCTGGACTCCCAGTATAGAGATGGAACCAGAAAGCAGGTTTTTCATTACAGAGACGGCAAACGAATTATGTCTTAATAATAGTTTTTAAATCATCGATAAAACTCATCCAGGAGTGTTTTCTATTTCATGAGGCAGCTTAGGAAGAAAGGCACCATTTTCATTGGGTCTTTATTTTTTCAAACGAGCAATACTTGTTTTAAGTCTGAGAGTCAAACATTTTATACAAGACAAATTCCCCAGATGCCGGTAGGTCATGGAAACAAAGGGAAATGAAGAATTTGCATATGCGCTTCTGCACCCGAGCCATCTCAAGCGACATCGTTTAACCGCCTCCTTCAAAGGCAGACTACAAAAACACCCTTCGGAACATGCAGATGATAGCAACTCCGGGCGAAATGCAAAATGAGGCCGAGAAGAGCCAGCACTTTGTGGCATTTTATAATTTCTCTGGCTTCAGGCCCTGGCTCATTAGCTTGGCCCAGTGTAGGATCTTATTCACAAATTCATAAACATTTAAACAAAGCGGATAGGGCATACAAAACAGGCCTAGACAGTGCGCCGCATGAATCGCACATGGATGATGGATACGCGGGGCAGTCTGTATCCACGCGACTGCATTAAGTTTTCTGGTCAGCACTGGCCTTGTTGGCTGATGAAAATGTGTTTTAATCATTCAACAGAAAATGTCATGGCCCAAACTGGATAGCCTGCTGGGAAACTAGGTTTAGTATTGCAGGAGCATCGACAGGACCTGCCCTTTGAAGGGCATTATAGGTAAGAAAGCCACTTCACATTATTGTAAGAATCAACATTTAACACTCATTTCACAATCTGGACGGTCTGAACCCCTGACAGATACTGACTGGTGTAGGACGGTCTGAACCCCTGACAGATACTGACTGGTGTAGGACGGTCTGAACCCTTGACAGATACTGACTGGTGTAGGGCGGTCTGAACCCCTGAGAGATACTCACTGGTATAGGACGGTCTGAACCCCTGACAGATACTGACTAGTGTAGGACGGTCTGAACCCTTGGCAGATACTGACTGGTGTAGGGCGGTCTGAACCCTTGGCAGATACTGACTGGTGTAGGGCGGTCTGAACCCCTGACAGATACTCACTAGTGTAGGACAGTCTGAATCCTTTGCTGGTTCCTGTACCATTGCTGTTGAACTCAATCATCAGGTGGTTGGAAGTACTGTTAAGGATGATGTTGTACATGTCAGTCTTTGTAAAATTCCCAAGAAGTCGAGATGAAACATCTTTCCCATCATACACCTGTTAAGAAAAAAACAAACAAGCACTATGAGATATTTAAGAAACTGAATGAGTTTTGCTTCTTTAGTGCTGGCCTCTGACAAAGGTCTTGCTGCTGCTCTATATCTATCTATCTATCTATCTATCTATCTATCTATCTATCTATCTATCTATCTATCTATCTATATACAGTATGTGTGTGTGTGTGTGTGTGTGTGTGTGTGTGTGTGTGTGTGTGTGTGTGTGTGTGTAAAACAGCTGTACTTAGCTGAGGAATAAGTGAAGACAGGATGGTCTCCGTTATGAAACGGAAAGCAAAGAGCTGTCCTTGGGGGCAGGCCTCACTTTGGGCTCTGCACTGCATTTCATAATTGCTTTTTAGATTACATACATATGAAAACTGTGAGCAGCCTCAGAATGGATGATATTACCAGTCGTATATCACTGTCACCCTGCCACCCCTGCCTTTCCCACTTTCCCTTCACGAAGACCATTGTGTCAGCCTTGACCTGAGAAGCGGATCTCGTGCCTTGGGAGAGAGGCAGGGTCAACATGGGACGTGAGGGAGTGACATTAGATATTTCCGGAAAAAACAATTTTCCCAAACTTGCAGCATGTGTAATTTGACATCGTTGGCTTTCGTCTTCCCTGCCCCCTGTAAGGATATTATTCCCCCATCTGAGCATTCCGCTCGTCTCCATCTCTTATTTCCAGGTGTTTGTATTTTTTCATTTTTAATTTATTAATCCAACCTTTCGATCAGGGAACTGATCGAGTGCTACAGAATTCCTCCTAGGGATCACATTGGGAAGTTCCCGTTGCCTCTCCCATATAAACCAAATAACCAGCTGCCAAAGCAGACAATTCAATTCAGAAGCTCTTTTGGCTATAGAATTCTGTAATGAGGCCACTTTCGTGGTTCATTATCAATGGTCATACTTTTAAATTCTCTGTTTATTTTCTCCATATTCATAAAGACTATTTCCGTCAGCATTTATAATCCAATTTTGATCAATTTCATAAACAGCAGTGACAGCATGTATCTTACCTATCTTTGGGTGAAATCTGTGTTGCGCAGCTGGTCTTTCTCATGTTCCTACCAATCCTATAATTTAACTTTGTTTACAGATTTTACAGATCTACACTGTGGCACCGGGAGGACGTATTCATCTTCAAGTATATTAATGAAAAATGTAATTTGTCATGAAAAAACAGGTTAAGAATGTTGATACATATTAGCCCAGATTGAGGTGTGATCCCCAGACCGCCTTTAAAGCCGCTGTCTGTGTGGAATGTTCCGAGTGTTTCCGGGTTGGTGGCTGTGCAGACAATCCTGCACCTGACTAGTGTGAACCTTGCTATCGTGTTCGGGTCGGCACCAACCCGTTTGTAAGTTTACAATGCATAAAAGCACCACATAAATTTGTGTACTGCATCAAGGCTTTTTGACTTTGTCAGGAACATCTATTTAAACAAAGTAAAAAAATAAATTTAAATAAATTAATTGAAACTATTTTTTTTCACTAACCAAGGCATGCCCAGACATGTAAGGCAGGATAAGACCAATTCAGTTTATTTATATAATTCTCTTGAGGTTTATTTTACCATTATTTTTTAATTGAAAGCGAGAGGTATGCTGTCAAAAGAAAGGTCTAGAAAGCCACACCAAAAATATTAAAAGCAATCTTTTCATGGATAAGGGAGCTTAACAAGGTAACCAAGAGGTAAGAAACAAATGGGATGATAAATGATTGTTTGATTGTGGATGTTTTAAGACACGAGTCGGCAGATAAGCAAGAAACTGACAGTTCGGTCAAATCCATACATCCTGATGTCCAAGAAACATCACGATACATAATTAAAAAGGCCAGAATTTTTAAAAGAAAAAGGCAGAATTGTTAGCATGTATGACTTGGTCATGTCTGTGTAAGGTTGGATTACTCCAGGTCACATGCACCATTTATTTGTGGAACAGCAACTAAGCTTCCTGTTGCTAGGGGTATCTGTCTGGTTCTGCTGAATCGCTGCATTGTGTCTGTGTGGAATGTTCCGGGCCTTTCTGGGTGCTCTGCACACTGAGCTGTCTCTTCCTCACTTGGGGAATGGCAGACACAGCACTAACCTCACATTGGAGGAGCAGGCTTGGCTTCTGAGCTGTTTCTGTCAATATTTTACTGTATAAATACAGCACAATGGCCCTGGATGTGACCTGGTTGGACACTAACTGGCACACATACCCAGGAGGGTGAACAGCCTAATGGTGCTGCCATGTCTAATGCATTGTGGTTGATGGATGATTGGTTAATTAATTAACATGTTAACTGCAAGAAGAATGAGAAGGGGGAACTTGTTTCCACCTGCATGATAGAGCCTTGAGGAGGGGAGTGGTGGGGGGGCATGGGTTGGGAACGCACCTTAAGGTAGTCACCCTCCTGTAGCTGGAAGACAGAGGCACGCACGCAGACGCCCTGGCCTCTCGCCGTCTCCATGCGGTAGATGCACTCATGGTTGTTGTCGTAGTTCCCTGGGTAGTTTGGAGACAGGAGGATCCCCTCGGGGCCGACGGAGGAGGCGCCGCATTCAGCTAGGCAGGGGGAGAGGGCTGCGTATTAACACATTTCAGGGGGAGGGTGTCACACCAGTCAGAGGCGACTCCGCCCACATTCAGCTAGGCAGGGGGAGAGGGCTGCGTATTAACACGTTTCAGGGGGAGGGGGTCACACCAGTCAGAGGCGACTCCGCCACATTCACTAGGCAGGGGGAGAGGGCTGCGTATTAACACGTTTCAGGGGGAGGGGGTCACACCAGTCAGAGGCGACTCCGCCCACATTCACTAGGCAGGGGGAGAGGGCTGCGTATTAACACGTTTCAGGGGGAGGGGGTCACACCAGTCAGAGGCGACTCCGCCCACATTCAGCTATTATAAGTAGATCTGAGTTTGGCCTTGTAAAATGAAAGAAGGAGCAGTGAATGGAGGCTCGAGCACAGAGAACGACAGGGGTGGGGGTAATGGCCAGACAGCCACAAGCGCACCCTTCTGAAGGGGGCATTCCTCATCTCCACAGCTGGAATATGGATGAATCACTGGCATTTTGATGAATAGCCACAAATAAAAAAAAAACTTGAAAGGAATATTAATTAAGGTCCATATTATGCAGCGGGCGCACGCCGGTCACTGAGGCTCGCCGACTTGGCGGGGCTTTGATGTCCCCCAGCTGGCTCTCGGGGACACGGGTCTCTGTCACACGGCCGCATTGAGCCACAGGACCTAGGACTGTTTCACAGAGATCCTTAACCGAGATTCCATTTCTGCTGAATGCACAAATTTTCTTCTTTTGTCACACATTCCAAAGCATTTTATTTATTTACTTTTAAAATAAAAACGAAAAACAGAATTTTGTCATGAATATTTACCAGAACGTACCGGAAACAAGCATCAGCACACGATGATCTCCCGGTCTCTTGGTGTGTGTGTGTGTGTGTGTGTCTGTCTGTCTGTGCATGCGCATGATTAGGATTATATTACATTGTGGGGACCAAATGTCTCCCACAATTTAATAAAAACCTGTTATTTTGATGTTGCGGGAACCAATTTTCAGGTCTCCACAAAGATCTGTGAATGAAATCAAAAAATGAAAATGCCAAAAGTCCCATTTTGTTTGGTTACTTATGGCTAAGATTAGGGCTGGGAGGGGGTTAAGGTCATCATGTCGGGATTAAAGTTTTCCCCATAGAAATCAATGGAGAGTCCCCACAAAGATTTAATTACAAACATGTATGGTGTGTTTGCGTGTGTGTACATGGGTCATGGTGATCCACCATCGCATTACTCACCACTGCCTCCACTGGCAAGGACACTGCGGTTTAAATGAAGTTTCGGCTGTCAGTAGTGAGGCAGCAGAAACAGCGGCCTCTCATCTGTACGGAGGTGTGAACGGATCACACTCACAACGTGCTGCCTTATTAGTCTGATGCATGGCTACATTACTCTCCTCTCTGTCTTAAAAAATTCAGAGCCATTCGACTCGGTCCAGGAAATCCTGCACTTACAGTTTATACCCAGTAGTCTGGGAAATGATTTTGCTCAAGTTATGGCGTAACTAATATTTAAAAATGTTTAAGTCCTGTAAAAGCATGGCATGCCCCCTTTTCCAGGACATAATTGACACTTTATTGATCCACGGGGGGAAATTCTCTTTACACCTCCCCCAACTTCCTCTTTGTAGAGTAAGCAGCCCGTGAAGGGCGGCCACCTGTTGGGGCCTCCAAGGAGCTGGGGGTTAAGGGCCTTTCTCAAGGACCCGCAGATGTGCTGAGGCGGGATTTGAAACAACAACCTTCTGATTACAGGCACACATGCTTAGCTGCCCCCCCATAATGCCCGTCCATCATAGGAAACTTACATATATCACAAGAATTAAAGAGGCCTTTAAAGAGGCCATTAAGCCACTCATGTTAAACACGAAAAGTACATGTATCTCAACCCAATGTGGACCCCGCAGGAAAAACAGCAAAGTTGGCAATTATTTCACTTTGAAAGTCATTCAGTTGTTACAGTGAGATAAGAACACCATTAAAAACTGTTAGAGAAAATGATAAAGACTAGCATTAACCATAGTCTGCTTCTTTACTCTGTTTGTAAATGTAGCATTTTAATCATAATTGAAATAACGCAGCTTATTTTGTTTAAAATCAAATGGATAGATAGAATAAATGAGTAGAATTTGCACACAAATGAAATGAAAATAAATTTGTCTCCTTTGCCTGGGTTTTACAGGAAGCCTGTCTGGCTCTGTATAGTCTGTCTGGCTCTGTATAGTGGTAGATAGAGTCCCTCAGTAACGTAATTTTCACCATGCAACTCCAAGTTTCTTTGGAATTTTATTTACATGCTCTGGACAGAGGGTTTGGGAAACGGAGAAAATAGGGCAAGACACCCTGGATCACCCCATTGCCAGTGCGATCCACCGTAAACGAGCAAATGAACAAAAAGCAGCAATAGCTCTGTCATGTTGATTCTTGAGACACACCCCTGACCGCACCCAGTCCCCAACCTGCCCCTGTCCCCACCTCCGCCCCCATCCTGCCCCCGGTCCCACCTCCGCCCCCGTCCTGCCCCCGTCCCCACCTCCGCCCCCGTCCTGCCCCCGGCCCCACCTCCGCCCCCGTCCTGCCCCCGGCCCCACCTCCGCCCCCGTCCTGCCCCCGGCCCCACCTCCGCCCCCGTCCTGCCCCCGTCCCCACCTCCGCCCGCGTCCTGCCCCCGGTCCCACCTCCGCCCCCGTCCTGCCCCCGGCCCCACCTCCGCCCCCGTCTTGCCCCGGCCCCACCTCCGCCCCCGTCCTGCCCCCGGCCCCACCTCCGCCCCCGTCCTGCCCCCGGCCCCACCTCCGCCCCCGTCCTGCCCCCGGTCCCACCTCCGCCCCCGTCCTGCCCCCGTCCCCACCTCCGCCCCCGTCTTGCCCCGGCCCCACCTCCGCCCCCCTCCTGCCCCCGGCCCCACCTCCGCCCCCGTCCTGCCCCGGCCCCATCCTGCCCCTGGCTCCACCCCCAGGCACAGCTCTTTATGAATGAGATGAAAGCATGGGACCACCTACCCACACACCTTGGCAGGACGGCGCTCCACACCCTGCGGCCCCCACCCAGGCACGTGATCCTCTGCTCCCCTTCCAGCCGGTATCCGGGAAAGCAGGAGAACACCAGAGAGTCTCCAACACCGAACTGGAAGCCAACGCGGCGGCTGTAGGCCGGGACGCCGGGGTCCTCGCAAGGCTCAAGGCTGTACTCTGTAGGGGAGGCACAGGACACCGCATGGTGTTCTGTTAACACCGCTGAGGTGGGGCTGCTTTCAAGGGCGGGGGGCCTGCAGAGGCCCCCGCTTCAAGTGCCGTGACTCAGGCTCAAGAGAAAATGTTTTTTTTATCCCACCACGAGATGGATCATACGGCTGCTGACAATGTTACTGCTCTCCGTTGAACGGGGCCCCCAGCGTCAGGGTCTTACTATTTATAGTAAGCCATGCTCAGCAGCTGGGTGTTTGTCAAGTTTAATGGCGCATTACAGTGCCCGATATGCTGTTTATGTCGTACGTGGTGATACATATGAGTGCAGTACAGTGCCCGATATGCTGTTTATGTCGTACGTGGTGATACATATGAGTGCAGTACAGTGCCCGATATGC